GCCTTGCAGGCGCAAGGTCCCAAGTTTGATCCCCGGTACCAAAATATAAAAGTAAAATAAAATAAACTGGTAACAAAATGGCACTCTTTTAAAAAAGAGAAAGCCCTAGTTACCCAATCTCTCATTCGTTTATTCAACCAATATTCTATCAGTTGAGAGCCCACTATATTCCAGGCCCTGTACTGGGATACTGCGGTCCCTGTGAAGTTGCCTAATTAGGGGAGAAGGGTGTTGGCCCTCCTCAAGGACATGGACTTCTGTGGTCCTTTCCACCAACTGAACGATATCTAGGTGGGGGAGGGGGAGGGTGTCTTCAAGACAAAGGGACCAACACAGGTAAAATCCCAGAAATAGGAGACATCTTGAAGTCCAGGGAATCCAAAGTAGTTCGGTGTGACGAGTGAAGGGTCCACATAGGGGAATGGGCAGAAAAAGAGCCAGAGAGAGGACAGGATGGATCATAAAGGGCCTTGAATGCTAAGCTAAGAAGTAGAACTACGCACTGGCATGCAGTGGTGAACATCTGGAGTCTCAGCTACTAGGGAAGCTGAGGCAGGAAGATTGCAAATTATTTTTAAGAATAAAATGAGAGCTGAGGAGGTAGCTTAGTGCTCCCTAATTTCGATCCCTGGTACCATAAAAAATACATGGAACTTTTCACAGAGCCACGTGGGAGCCACTGGAGCGTTCTGGGCTGCGTGGAGAAAGAGGGTGACAAATGGAGACACTCGTTATCAGATGTTAGGAAATGGGGCCGTAGCCTGGGGAATTGACTGGAATCCATGAGGCTAGAGACAGGGAGACCAGACAAGAAGCTAGAAGGAGGTTGGGAGTAAGGCCTGAGAGCGGAGTAGAAGATAGTCCCAAAGGGCACTGGGAAAGTGAAACCTACAAGATCTGTTAGCAACAGCTAGAAAACGCTGCACACCAAACCTCTGCAAACTGGATGACTTAAAACCACGGCTGTTTCTTCTTACAGATCTCCAAGCACCCTTTGCATTGGCTGGTCTTGCCTGGGTTCCGCTGCATTGCTGGGCTGGGCCGGGCTTGCTCTCTAACGCTGACTGACCACGGGAGGGGTTGACTGGGGCAGTTTGGTGCCACTCTGCACATCACTTATACTTCTGCTGGGGCTAGGGGGCCAATCAAGGCATATTCTCATGACGACAGGGCCAGAGACTCCGAGAACAACCCCAATCGAGCAAGCACTTTATAAATCTTCAGTTCTATAATATTTACCAATATTCCATTGCATAAGTCAAGTGGCTGAATCCAAGGTGAAGGAACGGGAGCTATTTTTCAGCTTTTCTGAAGGAAAAAATTGCTAAGTCACATGGCAAAGGGCACAGATAGAGGAAGGGTGAGGAATTGAGGCTTTGGTTGTAATTTCCTGCTCCAGATGAGGAATTGGAACAGGAGGGTAGAGACAAAAGGAGTGCAGGAGAATTTGGGGAGTGGGCAGGACTGTTATGTTTATCGACCCAACTGCCTCCAAACCTTGCACCTGTGCCTCTCTGTGCTCCACAGCCTGTTTATCTGGGTCCACCCCTTCTGGAACCAAGCCTGAGACACGAGTCCTCTTGGGTGCAAGGTCTGTTCTGAGAAGGAACCTGTCCTGCTTGCCCAAACCCCATCCAGACCCTCCTGGATCTCTCGGCCGACCCTGCCCCAGCCTGGCCCGCAGGTCGCTTCGCTGGGGAAGCCTCACTCAGCCTATGTCAATTACACACTCCACTGACTTGTTTTCCTCTGTGTGGGCAGACAGTCGCACAACTGTTTCCAATCCTGCAAACAGAAGGGTGGGTGGGGAAAGAGGTATGTGCTCGGATGTGGGAGGAACCTACTGCTTCTGTCTTCCGGGATCCCCACCCTCTCTGCACCCACCTCCTCCTCTCTGGCTGCCCCTCCACACAATCTAGCTTGATCTCCCCGGCTACAGAGTAAACAGAAAAGAGACTTAATCCCTCCAGAGGGCACCCCAGAGAGGAAAGAAGAGTAAACAGCTTAGGTGACCAGGGGAAGTCACCTCCCCTTTCTGAATCTCAGTTTTCACACCTATAAAACAGTAGCTTTAGTTTAGGGAACATTTAAGTTTATTTTAACAAACACTCATATGGTGCTTACTAAGTGCCCTGAATTCTTAAGTGCTGTGCAAATATTAGCTCGTTTCATGATTATGACACTGTTTCAAGGCATTACAGTATACACAGGCCTGGGGATATTAAGTTGTTTTCCCCAAGGCACACAACTAGGGAATGAGAGTCAGGATTTGAACTCAAGCCCTCCAGCACCCGAGTCCACTTTTAACCACCATAATATGCTACCACTTGCTTTCTTGTCCTCTCTGAATTTCCAGAAGTCCAGCAACATGGACTCTTAGTGTCAGACCTATCCCATACCCTTATTTCTGCTGAGCAGGTGTCATGGGGTGAATTTTGTCCCCCAAAAAAGGGCGTTTACATCACAAACCTCAGTACATGTGCATGTGACTGTCCTTGTCAATAGGGCCTTTGCAGATATCATGTGATTAAAAGTCATAATCCTGGGCCGGGGAAATGTAGCTCAGTGGTTCCACCACCTGCTTGGCAAGTGCAAGGTCCCGAGTTCTATCCCTGGTACCAAACAAAGAGTAATGATCCTGGCCAACACCTTTAGGAGAAGGAAAAGGAGATTTGGAAACTGACATGCAGAGACACACACAGGGACGACAGCACACAGGCAGAATTGGAGTGATGCAGCTCACAGTCAAGGGATGCCAAGGATTGGACAGCCAGAAAATGGGGAAGCAAGGGAGGATTCTCCAGTAGAGGGTTCGGAGGGAGCACAGCCTTGCTGACACCTCAGTTTCAGTCTTCTCATCTCCATAACTGCAAGAGAATGGATGTCTACTGTTCTGCACTACCCAGCCTGTGGTCAGTGGTTCTGGCAGCCGCAGGAAACTAAGTCAACGGGGCACAGAAATCTCAAAGCCCTCAAGAGGAGGCAGCTCTGGCAAATAAGCCCAGGCTAGCAGCTTTCTCTGCCCACCCAGCTCGCATCTGCTATCTCCCGTCACCTCTCAGGCCCCCGTGGCTTGGGCACTGGAGTCAGATGGGACGGGGCTGCCTCCCAGCGCTGCCGCTCCTTGGCCGTGACCTCAGGTGAGTCATCTCTCATCTCAGCCTGAACTCCCACCTCCTACTTACATCTGATATCTCTCCGGAGTGAATAAAGTAATGTGGGTGGAAAGGCACCAGGGAACTCAGGTGGAACAGAAGCTGGTTGGGAACTCCTTGGCTTTCTGTCTGCTCCTCCCTTGCCAAGTTCCTGGAAATCCGTGTCCCACCTCACCTTCACTTCTTCCAAGCACTGGGTCAAGCCTGGCTTGTGAGCGGGCACTCAGAAGTAATCCAGGTAAATTGGCCAACTCTGAGAGGTTCCTGCCCCACAACTGGCCCCTTCTTCTCCGCCTCCTCCATTTCCTCTTCCCAGAAGCCCTCCAAACCCCTCTCAAATGTCCTCCAAAGTTCTTCTGCTGGGACGCCCCTCTCAGCTGCCTGACACCTGCCAAGATGGGCAAAACCTGGGCCTTCGGTTTGTGTGCTTCATGAATGTCTGAGTGGAGAGGCTTAAAACTCTTTGGGAATCCAAAGGTGAGGCTCCCTAATCATGGAACCATTGGTCCATGGTCTTCTGGCTAAGACTGTATGACATCTGTTAGCCCGGGAAGGAGTTTCTGAATTCCATGTGACACCTGAACTCCCTTTCTTCACACCGCCCACCGTTCCTAGCGTACCCTCAGACTCTGCCCTCTTCAGGCAGAGGATTTTTTTGAAAAGACCAAGTCATCTGTCCCAGACGTAGCCTGGTAGATGGTGAGGTAGCGGCAGAGTCACACGGCCTTGGGTTTAAATTTTGCCTCTCCCACTTGAGCCATGTTCTTAGGCATGTCGCAGCACCTCTCGGAGCTCATCTGGGAGCGAAGTCCATCACCCGCTTCCCAGAGTTCAGCACAGTACAAGTGGAGATGCACACTTCCTCCAAGCCATCTGTGCCGTCAGCGGCACAAACCGAGCCCTACAAAAAGCCAGTGGGATGGAAATGAAGGTTTCCGGTGCTGGAATCAGAGAGGTGTGAGTTTGAATCCAGGCTCTGTCTTTTCTCAGCTATGTATCTCAGGCAAGTTACTCCACCTCTCTAAACATCGGTTTCTCCATAAAATTGGGGTAAAGGCCTCTTCTTTGGGTGTTTAGAAGGATTCGGTGAGATGGGTTGGCATGAGCTCCTCAGCTCCATCCTAAGTCTCTGAGATGTCTTCTCAATCTTGGACTCTTTAGATTTCAAATTTAGGTTTTGCAGTCACACCTGGATAGCCTCTCTGGCTTTCATAGCTATTTATCCTTGACCACATTGAGTCCCTGGCCCTCTGGGTTGCCCAACTCTGCCCCAGAAGCTAGACTTCCAGGAACAGCACCACACAGCCTAGAGATTTCCTTTGTGGTTTTGGGATGGCCAAGGGTGGGCAGTAATGGATTGGACCTCTAATGCCTGACAGGCATGACCAAAGGCCTTGGCAGGTAAGCTTCCCGGGACCACAGTAACCAAAGCCATCTGTTTGTTTGTATCACGGTCTTTTGGGAGAAAATGGATTGACAGCTTGTATAACTTGGCTCAGAACAGACTTGCTGGGGAACAGGGGGACCTGGAGGGGGCAGCTCCCAGGGACAGGACCCCAGGGTACTTGCACAGGGCTGTATCAACTGGAGGCAGGCCTGTTCTCCAAGGAGGGGCTGCCGAAAGCCTGATTATCACAGGCTGGCCCTCTCTATCAGCCCTTTCCATCAGCCTCTGCAGGAGTCAGGAGTTAGCTGAGGCTGCTAAGTGGCCTCCTGCCTCCTCCTGGGCTCCGGAGAAAGGGCGAGGGGTGGGGGGAGGCCGCACCAGCAGTGTGCGCATGGGGTGATTGTCATGGTTACGCTCTGACAAAACAAATGGCTCTGCTTCCTGCAGGCCACCTAAACAGCCATCGAAATGTGGGCATTGATCAAGCTGACCGCCAGGGCAGTGAGCGCTGGGCTTGGGCGCTGGAGCCTGGTCCTGGGCTCCCGCTTCAGCAGCTCTGAGAGCAGGCAGGCAGCCGCTGCGGCAGATATAGGGAGTGTTTGCCGGACACATGTTGCTTCTGGGGCAAGGTAAGGGCCAGCACTGGGCTGTTCTGAGTGGAGTGCAGGGGTTGTGCGTGTGTGCGTATGGTGAGTTGCGTGCCTCTGTGTGAAAGTGTGTGTGTGTGTGTGTGTGTGTCTGTGAGTGTCAGTGTCAGTGTGTGCTCACACTGTGGGGAGGAGCTGAGAATGCTTCAGCATGACAAGTGAGAGAAGGAAACCACATGTTGCTGCTCCTGTCCTAGCCCCTCTTCCTCTCTCTCTCCCTCTCTCTCTCTCTCTCTCTCTCTCTCTCTCTCTCTCTCTCTCTCCTCCCACTACCCCTTCTCTCCGGATGTCTATTTCTCTGTTTTCTGAATGTGTGTATGTGTGTGATTCTCTCTCTCTCTCTCCCTCCCTCTTCCTCTCCCTCCCTCAGCCTCCTATCCCTGCCACCTGTTTCCTCTGTCCCTGCCCTACCACCACCTCCAGTCTGTCTCTGGGCCCCAGGGCAATCCGGAGCACCGCAGGCTTCCCACCCCCAGCTGCCTGTCTCACACCTTCTGAGTGCCCAGCACGACTGTCTCAAAGCCCTCAAAGCCGCTGGGTGAACAAGCGCACCCGCCTCTCTGAGCCCCACGTCCCTGGGCTCCTGCCAGGTAAGGGGGCTCTGGGTAGAGGGGTCTGTGCTGTGAAATGCGGCAGGGGGAGGGGACCAGGCGCGGGACACAGCTGGCGACTGCTGACACATCAAGCCCCCTGCGGGAAGTCCCTTCATCACGTCTCCTGCAGCAACCCCAACAGATCCATTCTGGTGCTCGCCGCCCAGGCAGACAGGCTTGGGGTGGGGGGAAACCAGAACCTTTCTCCTCTCCTCTGCCTGCTAGAAAGAGCAACAGGCACCTGTCTGCCTGCTCCATCCCCACTCCCTTATAGCTCTCTTGGTCTCTATCTCTTATCTCTCTGTCACTGTCACTCTCCTTGTCTCTCTTCTTTGTCTCTCTTCTCTCTCCCCTCCCTCCTCGCCCTCTGCCCGCCCCCACTCTCTCTGTCAGCAGGCAGAGCCCTTTCCTCACTTTTTCCTTTGGGACATAAGCCTGTTTCCTGTCTTTGCCCATGTGAACCCAGCCAGATCACGGGACCTGGGCAGAGGCCAAAGGGCTCTGGGGAAACGCAGTTCTCCTGAGTGGAGGGTTCAAGGGCAACAGGCCTTGGCATTGGCTGGGTTGGGAAGAGATGTGTGTGTACATCTGATGTCTGTGAGGACGTGAGGTGTGTGGGGCATATGTGTATAGAGGGTGTCCCTGGAGGGCAGTGACATGTACAAATAAGCCACAGGAGTAGGTGAGAAGATCTATGGCTTCTGTGTATATATATGCATGTGTACCTGTTCGGGCGCGCTTATGTGGGATGCCCTTTATCCCTTGGCACTCAGATATTTAAGAGTGCAGGTGTGTTCAGGAGCACGCATGTGTAAATGTGTGCATATGGTTGTGCTTGTACAGGGGATTATGGGTTGAACCTGCCCCAGCGGTTGCTGGGTAGGATCCCCACAGCCTGTCATGTGACAGCAGTGCACTCACCACTCAGCCTTGGCTAGAAGCCATCTCCAGGGGTTGGGCCATTTCCCAGACCAGGTGATGGTCCAGGGCTCAAGGAATGTTGGGCACCGCGCTCTTGTGGGTGACCTACAAACCCCACTGCCTTTCTGGCATGAGTCAGACCAAGGCTCCTAGCCTGGGGATGATTCAGATTCTGAGTATCCTCCCCAGCCTTATCTTGGGGAGTTGAAGAAGTCAGGGCCCCATGAACTCCCAGGTAGTGTGACAACCAGCCCCAGATTTGGGCCAGGTGATAGTCTCAGAAAGTGCTCCAGCCATTGGCTACCAGATCGATGGTAAAGTTATTGGGTTGGGTTGACACGGGTGCCCTGTTCAGAGGGGCTGAGATGCCCACTTGGATCCTCAAGTAACCTGGCCACCCCTGGTCCCAGATGGAAGAATCTCTGTGCCCTTCCCTGCAGCCTCTGCTGCTGTTTCCAGTAAGTCCCTTCCCTGGCTGGCTGGCCTCTCGGTACCAGACAAATGATGCTGAGACCATGGGCCCATGGTAGGCCAGCTCCATGGTGAGAAGGGGTTCATTTGGGAAGAGGGGCAGTGAGAGGTCAGAACTTAGCTATGAGCTCCCATTCAGGTTCAAGCTGTCTTCTCTGCTGGGTGCTTGGGTTTCTCTGTGCACCTCCTTGCTCGTTTACCCTAAATACAGAGCCTTGTGTAACCACTGGCCAAGCTACACAGACCTCCGTTTCTCCTGGTGTCACAGGCATTTCCACTCCAGCCAGAGTAGGAAGGGGATTTGGCCATGCCAAACTGAGGTCAACAGACATCCCCGTGGACACTGGGAACAGTTCATGGAACAGTGGGTAAAGCACGGCTCCAGGTCACCAGGGGCGCACCAATCCTCTCATCCTGTTAACTCCCTTTCAGTGAAGGTGACTGCCTCAGGGAGTGTTTCTCTACCAACACTTCTGATGTGCTCACTCAGCGTTGTGGCCCATGCAGGAAACCCTCTGGGTTCCTGGATTCCTTAGGGAGAGGGAAGTAGGACCAGGGGTGCTCAGTGTGGAGCTAAGAAGGCTTCCAGAAAGAGGTGGTATTGGTGTGGGGGCTTGGAAGGAGTGATGAATGGATAGATGTCTCCTATTCAGACAAATTAGGAGGGGCAAGGAAGGGCTTCAAATGTGACTGGGGAGGAGCACAGGCAGGGCTGGGAGGTTTTAGCTGACTAGTGCCAAATGACTCAATTTGAATGAACAGACAGAATAGGGTGGAAAGAGAAAAGGAATGAAGCCTTCCAGTTCCTGGGTGCCACTTGATGCCAGGCAGAGCTAGGTATTGGATCTTGGTTCCCAAAGAGCTTGTGGTATCAGGTAGAGAGGGCGTCATAATCAACTTTCCAACCTTATGTCAACCAGTGCCCATGGGAAGTGTTCTTAGATTTGAGATCTTTGAGCCACTCACAAGGCAAGTGGCAAGGGACCCAGAAGGTCTGAGGGACTCAGGCAAGGGCTCTGCTGCAGGTGCACATTCATGAATCACCTGCTCATGCGTTGGAGCAGCTGAGCAGAAAACCCTCACACAGAGTGCAGAGTTGGCCATGGAGGAAGACCTGAGCCTGGGCCTTGAGGAAGTTTCACCTCCAGGATCCCTGTCTCACTGCAGTCCTGGCCCTGAGGATGAGTCCACCAAACGACAGGAAATGGACAGCTGGACTGGTGCCGAGTTTACCCCCTGCCTTGTTTGTCCCCCTCACCAAGGACCATTCCCCTGGTGTTTAGTTGAACCCCCACTTTACATGTGATGAAAGGGAGTCTTGCATGTCCCATGTCTTGGAGACTTATGGGCGCAGAGGAAACAGCAGACCTTTATCACCAGGAATGAAGCCAAAGGTGGGAGGATGCTCCTATACTTCCTGAGCATGTGCTGCAGGCCTGGTGTATGAAGAAATGGCAAAGGGAAGGGCCTTCACGCTCCCTCTAGAGACATTAGGACCACTCCATGGATGGCAAGTGGTGCAGCAGAATACAGCTGAGTGAATCTCTATCCTGGGAGCTCAGAGGAAGGACTAGGACAGGCTTCATGGAGGAGGTGGGACTTAGAGGGACCCAAAGAAGATAGGGAGGTTTAGAAACATAAGGCTGGGATGAGGGATGAGCATCAACCTCAGGAGGAAGTTGGGATTCACTGGGGGTCGGGGAAAGAGGGAATGTTCTGGCTTGTCTGGGACATAGGGTAAGAGTGGAATCACTAGGGAGCTGCACTTGTCAGGAAGGAGTCAGACGAAGGCTTCTGACATTCCTGGGTCAGAAGACATCAGGACCCCAGGAAGAAAGTAACAATCCTAAGGAATTGAAATTTCACCTTTCAACTCCTCACTGTGGTCTAGAAGGATCCCAGTCCCATCTCCTTTGCTAGGCGATGGGCTGGGATTGTTCCTGGGAGTCCCATGAGGATCTCAGTACAAAGCCCTTACCCTTTCCTGTTACCACACTGGGGGCCAAACAGCTGGGCAGGAAACCTGTAAGAGTTTCCTTCATGGGATCACTCTGGAGACAAACAGTCATGGGGGGACTGAGCAGGGACCTGGAACAGGTGATCCCAACACAACCTGAAATGGGGTCATGGGTAGGAGCAGCTGCAGAGCAAGGATGAGTCTACCTGGTTTACCTTCGTATCTCTTCTTTGTTTGTTCGAAGAGGGGGTCTGCCTAATCAATATCTGAGGCTGCAGGGCCTTATTTTAAGCCTCCATAATAAAAAGGCGTTAATGAACTGACCATTCATCAAAGTGGTCCGTGCCCAACATCTGTCCTTGTTCAAGCCCAGTGTCAGTTCCCGCCCATCACTCGTCATCTATGAGCACTGGCTGAGCAATGGTTGCTCAGTAGGAGGTGCAGATGACCGTGCAAAGCCACAGGGTTGTGTGGTGGGACTGAATCTTGGGAGGTCTGTGAGATTGAACGAGGCCAATCAAAGGAGATGTTAGACACCCCTTCGAATCCCACATCATGTCACAGAGGATCGAGAAGCTGGCACTCAGGCCAGTGCACGACAGAAGACAAGGCAACCGGCAGCCAGTTGTGTTTGTAATAGGGAAGTTTGATTTCGGTGGGGTCACAGTGAAATCTGAAACTAAAAGTCTTTTCATTTTTGAAAATAAAATCCCAGTTAAAATTTTGTTCTTCGCCATTTCCTGTGAAATTGGTGTCCGTGTTTTAAGTGGATTCACTTGGAGGGTCCTTTATTGGGTCCAGCTGATAGTCAGAGTTTAATGTTGGTAGTTTCGATGACAGCAGAGCCTCTTCTGTACACTGTTTCCTTTCAAGTCTCTTGCTTCTGCATTGCCCACCTCAAAGCAGGTTATTAATTCATTTATTCCATATTTGGCGAGCACCCGCTGATTGCCAAGCACTCTCCTAAGCACTGCAGGCACAATTGCTGATAAAATATATAAAAATATCTCCCCTCACAGAGCTTCTATTCTAGTGGGCTCCTTTGGCCTAATCTCCCCCTCTTCTGTCTCTTACTCTCTTCCCAATATTATGGCTTCTGTCCTTGAGACCATCATTTTAGCTCAGAGACCCAAACATCCATGGCTCCACTAGTCGAGTGTGATTATGCTGCCGGAACAAGCCATAATTTATTAATCTCTGCTCATGCCTCACGTCCAAAGCAGGTCCCACAAGTCGGCATCTAAAGCTAGATCCAGGTTAAGAGACACTCCTTTGTGAACATGTGCTTTCGTGCGCACTGAAGCAGGAAACAGGACAAGGCAGGCACACGCTGGCTTGTAAAGCTTCCACCGGAAGTGAAACACTTCCCTTCTGCACATTTTACTGGCTGAAGCTGGATACTCACCAGGCCTTCACAGGAATAGGGATAAGCAGCCAGCCTGGAGGAGCAGAACCCAGGAGACTTGCCCCAAAGCATAGGGATTATATGCCGGCTAATCAGGAGGGGGACATTGAAATCTTTATCTGAAAACCAACAGGAAATAGGGGAGAAAGGAAAGATTGTTTTCGGTAAAATCCCTTCGAAAATCTAAGCCTCCAACTCTGGTCCCCGTCACCCAGCTCTGAGCTGCAGATCACAATACCTTGA